CGGAGGCCCCGGGGCCTGGGGAGGGGGCCTGGGCCCTGCCAGCCCCACCCGGAGGCTTTAACCCCCTTCTCTCCAGGAAAGGAAGCCCCCGCGCTATGGAGGGGCAGGGAAGGTGCCCCCGGGGGTAGTGGAGTCAGCTGAGGCCGGAGGCTGGAGCCAGACTCCTCCTCCAGGGCCCCCTCCCGGGCTGGGACCGGCGGCATCTGGCACCCGGGGGTCCGGGGCGGGTGGCATCGCATCCTAAAGGGACTTTGGCGGCTCCGCCTGGCTCAGAAGTTGCAGGAGGAGGTGCCGGGGACCAGAGATGACTTGGAGGGGCACTGCCCACGCTGGGGCCGTGGGAGACGGTGGCCCTGAGGGCTTCCCGTGGCCCAGTCGGAGGTGGGTGCTCGGAGACGGGTGCCCGGGCGTGGCGGGGAAGGAGTTAAGTCTCCGTCTTGGAGGAAAAGGGGAAGATGAGCTCTGGTAGGAACAAGGCTGCAGTCATGGCTGCGGCCTGCATGGCCGGAGCTTCCCCCCGCTGATGGGGCCGGGCGTGCGGCTCGGAGGCCGGGGCTGGGCTGCCGTGGTCCAGGGACCCCGTCCCAGCTCCCAACCCGGGGATTCTGCGAATGGCGGGCTGGCCAGAGACGGGCCAGCAATGCTGACGAGATGGGTCAGCAAAGCAATGTGGCCGGCCAGCCTGGGTCCCCCCGCCTGGCAGGTCACGGAAGGGGCATCCGTCGCCTGAGGCCCGAGGGCCTGAGGACGGCGGGAGGGACGGGGACCCTGTGTCTGGGTGGGATCGCCGGGCCCACGCGGAGGTTCTTGGCACGAAGGTTCGGGCCCTCCGGTCTACCCTGGAGTCAGACACCGCGGGTGAGACTCAGCATTGACCCGGCTCTGGGCCCCTGGAGCAGGACACAGGGCCTGACCCTGATCCGGGCCAGCGTGGCTCGGCCTCCAGGCATTTGCACCCGGCGCTGTCTGGGGGAGAGGGGGGTTCGGCCAAGAGGAGAAATAAGCTGCTGCCGCCCTCGTGACCGAGCTAGGGGTCCCCGTCGGTCTCCAGGGTGTTCCCGGACAGGGCTCCGGGGAACCCCAGTGGTTCCGTTTCCTGGTCTGGAGGTTCCCCTCTAGGCCAGCTTCCTGCCCAGAGACTGGGCGGCATGGTAGGTCGGGGGCAGAGCCCCGAGTCACGGGTGCACTGTTGGGGTGGGGAGTGTCCGTCCCCAGCCCGCGCTCCGCCTTTGGATAAGAAATCTGTCCTTCAACGCACACACCCTACAGTGCAGGCGAGTGTCCCCTTAAAGGGGCTTCCCACCCCGGCCGGTGTGGCTCAGTGGGTAGAGGGTTGGCCTGTGGACTGCAGGGTCCTGGGTTCAATTCCTGGTCAAGGACGTGTACCGAGGTTACCGGCTGCATCCCTGGCCCTGAAGCAACCAATTGATGTGTCTCTCTCACATCGATGTTTCTCTCTCTGTGTCTCTCCATCCCTTCCGCTCGCTCTAAAAATCAATGCAAAAATAACCTGGGTGGGGATTAACAAAATCAATCAATCAATCAATCAATCAATAAAGGGGCTCCCCGGGAAAAGCACCCCATGGGCTGCAGGGGAGTTCCGGGGTCGGGGTCACTCCAGGTACTCGGGCCCTTGGGCCCCCACAGGCACCCTGCCCGCCCCGTGCATGTCCCCTGGAGAGCACCCCTCAGGGAGAAATGAAGAAGCAGACCCCAGCCCACCACCCACTTCCTCCCTCTCCGTCCCCTGCGTGCGAGCTGGAAAAAAAATCACAGACAATGCACCCGTGAGCCTAAAACTCATCTGAAATGGGGTGCTGGAACCGAGGGGTGTTTTTGCTGTGGGGGGAGGAGAGGGCTGTTCTCAAATACTTAAAGGTGCGCTGTGGGGTGCCCGGGGGGAAGGCGTAGGAACGGGGGCGGGCGTCGCAGGAAGATGGATGTCTGACTCACAGAGGACTTTGGGGGAGGGGGGGGCAGCCCCAAGGGGCTTCACGGTGCAGACAAGAGTTGGGCTAGCTGACTTTAGGGTCACAGTGGTCCCCCCCTTATCTGCGGGGGACACATGCCCAGACCCCGATGGATACCTGAAACCGTGGGTAGCACCGAACCCTATCTTCACCAGCTTTCTTTTTTCTTGTTCTTTTTTTCCCCAATCCTCCCCCGAGGATATTTTCCCGTTGATTTTTAGAGAGAGCGGAAGAGAGAGGGAGAGACAGAGAGAAACATCGATGTGAGAGAAACACATCAATGGGTTGCCTCCTGCACGCGCCCCGACCAGGGCCCGGGCCGGGGAGGAGCCTGCACCCGAGGTCCGTGCCCTTGAGCGGAATCGAACCCGGGACCCTTGGGTCCGCAGGCCGACGCTCCATCCACTGAGCCACACCGGCCAGGGCTCTTGACCAAGCTTCTTCCTGTCCGTACACACCTGGGATGAAGTTTACTTTGAAAACCAGGCTCAGTAAGAGACGAACAACAGGG